ATCCCAGAGTGGGGACAATGAGAGTGTCACTCCACTCTTTTCCCAGGATGCTCCACCAAACCACAGTATTTGTCCTTAAAGTAAAAAAAGCCAAAACCAAACAAAAAAAACCCCAACAGGAATAAGAGATTGCTGTTATGGCAGGATCAGTTCTTTAAGAATCTCAGTACATCTGAACAGGGAAAATAATTTTTGGGGCAGAACAGCACATGAATATTAATTTACAGACTGGGTCATTTGTGGGAGGTGGGAGCAAGAGAAAGAAGGGAAATGTAATTCAAATAAAGGTTAACAACATGTTTACTCATACAGAAAGCATTGAAGTTCTGAGAGATTGTATCTCTTGATATATATGGTCACTAAATTCTTCTGTTTTTATAGCAGCTCTAAAGCGAGATCTACACAGAAAGATACCAGTAACTCTTTTCTGGACAGGACACTTTAGCCTCATGGCATCCATCAAACAAATAATGAAGGTTGTACTGTTTGATGTCCTCCTATTCATCAAAAGAAAACATTAGCACTCCATGCTCTGCCGTCCACTCTTCTGAGAAAGATACAGCAGTTCTGAGACTGCTCTGCTTTATATCCCTCCATTAAATACTAATTTTAAAAAGGCTTTGTCAAGTACTGTCCTTGGATATACCTGACCTGAGCAGATCAAGTATCAGAGGCAGTCTTTGCTGCAAGCAAGTCTCATTGCTGTAAGTCTTTGCTGTAAGGAAGTCTTACTCACTAAGCTTACCCAGGCATCCAGAAGCTCTGTTCTTCATAGATTTTGTCTTTTCCAAGGTTTCTTAAATGTTCATTGTGAAATTAAACGACAAACCATATACTTGTTTTCAATCCCATGTTGCCATACTAAGCTACAGAATCTGAATTTCTCCCTCTAGCTTTTTTAATACAGTTGTTAACAAGAATTAAACAAAGAAAGCTGGACTCATTCATAGATAAAAGAAACAGATTTGCAGTACAACTATTAAAAGAAGCCTAAAAAAAATATAACTCAACACACTTGCTGCTAGCAAAAACTGGAAAACACACTACAGGTTCACTGATTTCTAGGTAGAGTCTGCTGAGCAGGAGTAAAGATAATTCTTTACAATATGCAATGCTAATTCTCTAACTGCATCAAATTTCTGATAGAGCAACACAAAGATATTCTTGCTATACTTCTGTAATTCACCTCAACAGAAAAAATCCATCATTAAAAACTTAAAAACATAATCATCATACTTATGCTTCCACTATAAAACAGATTAAGTTAAAATATATAGTTTTAATATATCTATATGTAATATATATTATAATGTAAAATTTCTATATAAATATATAGACATTAGGAATGTTGCAATTTTTAAGGTTAATAAAAGCTTGTTACAATCTCACTCTTCGAGTGTTACTTCACTGACAATAAACCTGTGTACTTTAGGTCCATGAAAATAAAAAGATCAAGGTTAATAAATTTCTGCAAAACTTAAAATGTAAATAAATCAGCCCAAAAACCATAAAAAATAGGTGATCATTTCAGAACAGCTGCTAGGGCAAGAAATGCCTGGCTGACTTCCAAATTATTCTCATTCAGAGAAATCAAACCAGAAAATTTAAAATAATTCTACTCTGCTGCACATTAAAGAGACATTTTTCTTGAAGACTTTCTTTCATGAAGGACAATTTTATGAAAAATGTATACTCCACTCATTTTCACTGAAGAGTCAAGAAAGTTTACCCTGACTGGGTAAAAACACTTACTGCTTCAACACTGTACATGTATTTACTGAGAAATCCACATGGAGCTTTAAAAATTACTTCTAGTAACAAGAGTGAAGGTATCTACAGCAGTAATTGGGAATTTTCCAAGACATACTCCTCACCTAAGCTCTGTCAGCCTGCACACACCTGGACCACCTTTGCTTAGGGGTTTAGCAAGATGGAGACCACATGTGTTCTGATTTCCTCTGCCTGTCCTAGAAGAAATTTGACCCAAATGTGCATTTCCCCAGCTTCCTGTCAATTCTACAACCTGAAGATGTGGGGATGAAGGACAGGAGAGGCCACAAGGATGAAGTGAATGTGAAGCGATGAGATGTGAAATAGAGGAATGCCAAATCCAGGAAGAAAGAGAAATGAAATAAAGGAAATAGGAGGGGAAATGCATATGGAGGGAAGGGATAGGGGTACAAAGATATAGTAGTTGCTAGGGATGAACATACAGAGCAAAGCAGAGGGTGAGGTGGAGGGAAGGAACAACAACAAAAAACAACCCATACCAAAAAAAATCCAATGAAACCCAACAGAACCATACTTTTCTGATTCAGAAAGAATCACTGCTGGCTGAACTTCAGCACCAAGCTCCACATCCACTTCAACCGTCAAAGACTAGCTTTGAAACCAACCAGCAAAATGGAAATCATCAACCTCCACTAATTGTACAAGGAATTATTACCATCACTAGCTATTCTGCAGAGTCAAATAATACAAATTCAGTGTGATCTTTAAAGACTTCAAAAACATTGCGCCAATGATCCTGGTTCCAACGTGGTTCCGCACCACAGGAATTAATTGTCTTCCTTTTTTTTTAAGTTTAGAAAATATTTCAAAAAAAAACCAAACAAAAACATTAGGAGAAGGCTGATGAATTTGCACAGTCAAGCACAGAGAGACAGGTACAGCCAGAGTTAAGTTCAACTGAACAATTTAACCTTATTGACACATGTATAACATCATACACTACAGTTTCATTCCCAAACCACGCTTTTACTAACTCATCCCCACTTCCTCTTGTGATGCCTCTAGGGTGCCAATTTGTTAGAGGAGTTCTCCTATAGCAGGTGTCCACTCACCCACCACAGAGAACACCACATCTTCCCCTCCCATCCCTTGACAGCAATCAAGACAAGGAGCACAGCATGGAAGCAGGAGTCCAGGAACTTAGGTGACAGCAAATCAATGAAGAAAGTAAGTGCAAGGAAAAGGCCACAGGGATTTAAAAAGAGAGAAAGAAAGAAAGAGAGGAAAAAGAATCCCTGGCTTGCTCAGTGTTTGCTGTCAAGAACCAGCCCACTCACAGTACAAGACTCATAAAAATGTAATAGTTAGCCTTGTGGGGAGGGGGAGGCACAGGTGGGGAAAGACCCTATGGATCATTTGGGATGAGGGCTGTTTGGCAAACACGTGTAAGCCATATATACCAGAGATAAAATTATCTGTGAGAAGAAGTCATTTCATAACATTTCTATGAAAATAACAAATTAAGGTAATCTTTGGTGTGAATATTTACATCATCAGTAAGCAACAACAATTTTAGATGGTGAAGATGGAAGCCTTAATTCCTGGCATTGCCAGGAGCAAGGAGGCAGTCAGGGCTCTGATCTTCTGGATCACCCTCAGAGTGAGTCTGCCTCTGGTCTGTCGCAATTTATGAACTGTAAAGTTCAAAGCATAGGCATTAAAGTCACCTACTCAGACTAAAGCCTGGATACCTCCCACTTCTACATGAACTTCAATGTTTTGAGGCAAGCATGCAAAATAAATACTATTTGCACTTGGAGCAAACGTAAAATGGCAACATTACCAAATCAAAAGAGGCATGTTGTTAAATGCCAGCTTCTCAGGAACTTAGACCAAAGAATGAGAGCACAGGCCAGAGGAAAACTAGGAGTGTTTTCACTACACATCCTTGCCCAAGTCAGCGGTACTGAATGGAGTACAAAGGTGACTGAGTAAACAAGACCATCCGCTCCTACCTTTAATTAGAATAAATGGTACTGCTAACCCTAATTCAAATCTTTCCTAACTTGTGGTCACTTGGGAACCCTTGGTGTTGACATCCTAGTAACAATTCTCTTCTGTTGAAATGCACAAACTTTGGTTAACAACTGCACAGAAAACCTCCTGGCACCCAGTCAAGAGAACGGCAAACAAACAAAAAAATCCAAAAACCTGCTCTGAAACAAGACATGAACACACATGAGAGAAACAACCTCATAACACAGGGCAATTGTAGATGTACAAGTACATATGTATGTTTAGGTAAATCAGTGTGTTTAAGAAATGTTCTGTAACTAGATAGAACAAAGTTTTACAAAGCAGACCTTAACAGCAGTGTGAGAATTAGCAGTCAGCTTTGGGGATGGGTTCTTTGAAGAACGAGGTAATTAGCAAGGCTGGAATTGTTTTCTTACCTCTTTCCTTAGAGTGCCCAAAGCACTCCTAAAGCAATAAAATTTTATCTGCTGACTTCACAGTTGATTAAATAGATGTAGCCCAAAATAGATTTAAGAAAAGTTATTAGCATATCAACCCACTAACAATAAAAATATGCCAAGAGCAGTATCAGTTTATTCAAAAATGTTTTCCACAAGCTTGTCTCTTCCTTCCTACTTTTTCTGGTAAAGAGACCATGCTTCCTCCTAGAGATTCTTCAGCTCCAGAATAACATAGTTCAGTGGTACCTCTGGACTTTCTGACTGTGATGCTCAAGCTTGACGTGCCTTACCATTTATTCAGTGTACGAATACCAAGAGAAACCTATTTCAAGTAAGTATGTGTAAAAGACCCACATCCTTTTAGCCCATGAAATGTCTTTGAGGTGGTGCTCCACCAGCTTGCCATACTTATAAAACCCTTCTCCACACTTCAAGAGCTTTCAAGATGGAAGATGTGTGTTCACTTCAAGAATTCAGCTTGGATCAATAATCAGCCTGATCCAACAAACTTGTCACATCAAAGTTGACAAAATGAGACTGGAATAATAAAGCCCTTGCAGAAAAATGGAGAAGACTAATTCATCAAAAATAAAATGGATAATGCATAAAAAGAAAACCTTTAATCACACTGATAATTTCAAAAAAGACTCCTCTTAATCTGCCTTATTTTTCATGTGCGCTAATTAGAAATAAACTTGCTTATCAACAGCTTATGCCTTTGAACCATCTGATTATAATGTCAAAACAGGCAGTCAGAAGCTTATACTAACTGCATGTGCATTCACAGTTTATAAAAGGAGTCACAGTCCTTTTAAACATCTTTACAGAAATACAAGTTCTCTTTAAGTTCACCATCCATTTTGACAATTGATTTCACATCAATTTTCCTCAATCTCTTTGACGACCAGGAGAAAATAGAATTTCTGACTTTTAAAATTACTGGGAGATTAAAGCCGAAATAAAGCAACATATGCATATTCGTTTCTCATACCTTTAACATCTGGATCATCTATATGGGGTTCCAAATTTTCTATCATTTCTTCTAATTCTTTCCTTGTTGCCATAGGAATGCTTGGAGACACTGGCATAGTGAGTTCCTGAATTTCTCTATCGAGTTTTATATCAGAAGTCTGCTGAAGCTCAAAGTCAATGTCTATTTCAGGAAGTGGAGTCCTCCAGAAATGGAAAGAGTTGTACAATTCCTGCTCTGGAAGAGAGGTTTCCTGTGAATTCAGCCCAGCCTCCCGCAGACCTGCTGTACAGCAATGAGAACTCTCCTCATTCTCATCCGCCATTTCCCTACAAGATTCTGAAGACAAAGTGCAATGGAAGGATGACTCAGTCTGGTAATCACTTTCCCTCTGGGAGTTATTTGACACTGTATTTTGATCTTCCATGGCATTTTCAAGTTTTGTTGCAAGATCATCGCTATCAACAACATGTGGAGACAGATCCTCTGTCCTGTTGTGCTCTTCATCTGTTGTGACATCTTCTGTGGTCCTGACTTGTTCACTGTTGAGTGCCAAAGCAAATGAACATTTACAAACCAAAACAAACTTGTTGCAAACAGATGCTCTTGAAAATTCAAACACATGCTATCAATTTGTTATTTATCAAAGTGCATTTACTTACATCATAATAAAAAAAAAAAAATCAGAAAATCACAGAATGGTCAAGGTTGGAAGGGCCCTCTAGAAGCTATCTGGGCCAAACCCCCTGTTCAAGCACTGACACCCAGAGCTAGTTGCCAGGACTGTGTCCAGATAGCTTTTGAATATTTCAGCCTCCATGGACAACCTGTGCCAGTGCTTGGTCATCCTCACAGTAAAAAGAAGTGTTTCCTGCTGTTCAGAGGGAACCTCCTGTGTTTCAGGTTGTGGCCATTGCCTCTGACCCTGTCACTGGGCACCACTAAAAAGAGCCTGTCTCTGTCCTCTTCAGGCATTTAGGGACATAGATAAGATCCCACTGACACCTCTCTTTTCCATGCTTAAGTCCCAGCTCTCTCAGCCTTTCCTCAGAGAGATGCTCCACTCTATTATCTTGTGGCCCTTCACTGGACTCTCTCTGGTATGTCCACGCCTCCCTCTGGATGGCAGCATTACCCTCTAGTGAATTAGCCACTCCTCCCAGTTTTGTGCCATCAGCAAGCCTGCTCCACCATCCAGACAGGACTGGACCCAATATTGACCCTTGAGTTACATGACCAGTTATTGCACCATTGATCAGTGCCCTGTGGGCCCAGCCATTCAGCAGCCATCAATCCACCTCACTGTTTGCTCATCCAACCAACTTCATCAGCTTCTCTAAAAGGACCTTACGGGAGGCTATGTCAAAAGTCTTCCTGAAGTCTAGGCAGACAGTATACACTGTTCTCCCTTGTCTATCAGGTCAATCATTTCACCACAGAAGATATCCTAACTTACTGAATAGTCATGTATTTTCAGTAAGTAACTGAAAATTTTGGTCTATTAAGATGAGATAATTCAGATCTTTCCATATATCAAGACACTAAATTTATCTAAGTAAGTTAATTTTCTAAACTTGCAGTTAACACAAAAGAAAGGCAACGAGAAAAAAAAAATTGTAGATTTTGCAAATTTTACCTATTTTCCTGTGCAGAACCACAATCTTCTGTGTTTTTACCATCTTCTTCTTTAAAATACTGGCCACTGCTGGATGGATTAGCAAAAGTTGATATGAAAGGCCCCAGAGACTGAAAAGCTGCTTGGCGGACCTAGTGGAAAGGGTCCAAGGTAAAAAAAAAAGTTATATATATATAAATCTTGCTGTCTTATGAAACATAAAATGCCTGATACTAGGAATTGGAAGGCTCTTAAGCACACTAAAGGGAGCAAGAGCAGAGGCTCTTGCCTGGAAGGAGTCAGCCAGCTGTATACATGCAGTGCCAAGTTAAAAAAAATGTTAAGAAAAAGGAAAAAGCAGGGTAAAACCAGTTAAATCACAGGTAACAAAGTTGACAGGTCTACTCCCCACAACGAGAGAAATCAGAACCTGTTAAGATAGTCGAAATAGGTATATTTGAAAGCTCAGCTGAGAATTTTAAAACTTGAAAGGAAAGCATCATTTACAGTGAACAGACGTTTTACTTCCGGAAGTTTGACTGATAAACTCTACATTTCTTTCCCTTTCCTATTTGGCTATTTTGCACATTTCCTCCTCCTGTCTCCTACTTTTTATTCTCCCCTTGTCAACAATTCTCTATCTCAACTTTTCTTATTTGATTTAATTCTGCTGGGCTACAACTTGCATGACTTTCCAAGATATAAGAGCTCATGTTCCTGTGCATAAGATCCTTGGCTCTTGGAAGCAGTCTGCTTAATAGCAAACTTAGGGTTTAAGAATAGATCTACAAGACAACAAATAAAATAAATTTTAAAAAACTAACAAACCCAAAAACCAGCAACAAAAAAATCCCACACAAGAAACAATAAAAAATAAAATAATAAAAACTCCCACCAACAACACCCAAAACACCCAAAACCAAACAAAGCACAAACCAACAACAAACTCCACCACCCCACTCCCCCAAAAAAAGACATGGTGGTAGGGAACCCGAAGGAATACAAGTTAAGTCCCATTAATTTTCCAGTTTTATTAATGATTCTCAGCAGTGTTAACTTACAGGCAGTTCTGTGGCTGAAAAAAGCTATCCCACTGACACAGTTTTTCTTACATGCCGCAGTGAAAATGTGAGGGACTCTACACCCGTTGACAAACTAAGCAGAACAATTTTGCTGGAGGTGCGTGAAAGAGGTTATCCACACCTGTGAGAAGTTTTATAAGGAGTACTGCAGCAAAACCCTTTAAAATGACAGCTATTCAAGAAATAAAAAGCAATTCTTACCCATCGTGAAGGATCACTAATCAAATTAATAAAAAGGGTTGACAATTTTGTCCTCCGGACCTCCTGTGATGTTGCACAAGAAACTGCCATGAAGCATTCAGCACAGGCTTTCCTAACTCCCCACACATTATCAGAGCAGAGCTGGAAAAACCTCGGCAGCTGTTAGGAACATAGTGAGTGAGTTTGCAAGTCTTAATAGGTGGCACCTGTTTCAAGGCAAGTTCTTTTTTCACATTCATTTCCTTCATCTGGTTCTCCACCCTCATACTCGGGTGAGTTAGTTTAACATTTGCAAGACAAAGAACACACATTCAGTAGCACAACCCCTTCTAATCAGTTGTTTTCATGTTACTTATGGATACAGATAAGGAAAATTCACCTGTCTGAAGCACAGCAAAGAAATACTAACTTTTTAACCTGTATTATACCACAAAAAAACCCACCAAAAAAAAAACAACTCCAAAAATATCCCCAAGCTCAGCAAACCTATCATAACACAAAACCTCATGTCTACACCATTCTTTTAGAGGTTGTGGATGCCCCGTCCCTGCCAGTGTTCAGTGCCAGGTTGGATAAGGTCTTGAGCAACCTGGTCTAGCGGGAGTTGTCCCTGCCCAAGGCAGGGGGGCTTGGAACTAGATAATCTTTAAGGTCCCTTCCAGCCCTTAACATTTTTTGACTCTGTGATGGAACATTTTGACTATCAGAGACCACTTCAGATTTTTTTGTAAGATTCTTACTGAAATGCAAAGGCATATCATCTTCAGAAAGAAAAACTTTTCCACCTAAACTTCTCATTGTTAGATTTATCAATCTTTGACACCACCTACCCTACAAAGCAGGACCTGAACTTCAAAGGGAAACAGGGAAATGAGAGAAACAGTGTATTTGGTGCAGGAGAAAACATGTTTGAACAGACCAGTGGTTTTACTAATAAAACTGAAGCACTTTCAAGTTGCTCAGATGTTTGGGTTTTTTGGAAACAACAATGGTAAGGGTGGACAGAGTGCAGGTGAGGAACAGACATTCAGATCCATCACATGGCTGCCTTGGCTTGGAACTGGCACAATAACAAGATGTAAGTAATACAATGGCTGTTGCTACAGCTTTGTTCACAATTACTGATGTTCAGCTGTTCCTACACCCTGCATCAAAGTTTTCTGGACTCTGTCTCTAACTAAATAAAAAAAAAAAAACTATGTCAGAAAATGAAATTTTATCATTCAGCTTTTTACACCCCTTTTGTTTTTATAATAATCCAAAATGAGAAAATGGCATTCTCTGTTATGAAAAGAGAACCCCAGCTGTCCTGCCACAAGTTATTGCTTTCAAATGAAATTTTTTATTTCATAGCCTAATCACACCCTCTACAAAGTTTTAATCCAAATTCATTACACTAATCGCTAAAAGGGCAGTTGTGTGAGAAAAGTCAATTTACATCCCAAATCAAGAAGCAGATGGGATGCAAATCCACACAACTGAACTTCACTGCCAAACGGCTTGAATCACTTAGTACAGAGTGGAAAATACAGCAAATGTCGTAAGTACATAAAAAAATGCCCTGAGTGGCACAGTAAGTCTACCTGTCCCAATATCACAACTGCAGAATGCTGCAGTCTCTTATTGAAGTCATGCCTACATTTACACTCTCTCTATATAAGCCCCTTGCTAATTCAGGGCACTGACTTATCAGGCTCTTCTGGCCCTCAACAAGCTCACTGTCCACATCCTCAAGAGGAGAAAGCTTGAAGAAGAATCCCAGTAACTGCCAAGATGATTTCTGCTCCCCAGCCCTGTCTTGTCTCTGAACCTAGCAAAACATCCACTAGCTCCTTGGACCCACTAGGGTAAGGGGGGCACTGCTAAGGATCCTCTTCTCACCAGTCCATCCAACTCCCTGCTTTTCCATTTTGAAACTGTCTCTCTTCCCTTTACTTCATTTGTTAATGCCCAGCTTCATTTATTTCCTTTACCTTTCTTTCTCTTCCCCTCCTTTCCAGGAAGGCAAGTGAGGTTTTGTTTGAGGCAGGAAAACTGACTTGAGAAGATTAAATCTATGAACAACAGCACTGAGTGATGTCATTTAAAAAGACCACATAAGCCTCACTGTATCTTCAATCTCTCACTGCATTTATAGACATTAAAAGACATATTCCTGCCTACTTCTTGCCTAATGCATTTCTGAACTTGCAAATACTCTCTGCCTCCAAGCTATTTTCCCTACTAAGGGAATGTAGTAGTTGTCTAATCATTTTAGCTGCCCTTCTTCTGTATCTTGTCCAGCTCCAGTACTGGATTGTGTTAAAAAGAAAAACCCTTTAAGAAATGGCTTACCAGCATCTCTTCAGTGGCTTGCTGTCCAACCACACTGCAGATGTCTCCAAAATTGGCTGCACATACCTTGCAGACAGAATGCAAGAAATAGCAACTAAGACCATAGTTTTAATACAGCAAAACCAAAGAGGAAAAAAAATAAACAGCTTTTAAAGCCATAAAAATGAGTTTTGGTGCAAACTCATTATCAGCTACTTTCCCATTCCATCACTTTCCATGGTTTAAAAAAAAATAAACCCCAAACTTTTCCTCAAGATTAATTTTTTTTTTAACCATAGAAGAACCCCAGAACTTTAATGAAAAGGAAGGAGAATGAAATGCATTCGAAGTGCTGTCAAATTAAACAACTTAAACACTTATCATGGGAAATAACCTAGTTAATGGCAGGGTGAGACTGAAGCACAGCCTCAGCACCTAAAAACCTCAAGGAGATATGCCCAACTACACTGCAGATATCTACAGCATAAGGACAAGGGCATTCTTTCTTTGTTTCTAATAATAAAGGTAGGGATTCTGGAAAAACAAATCTCAGTATCCAAAATAAAAATCTGTGGAAATGTGATCTACCAAGAAACCCCTACAGCTTTCACTTAATACATGTCAAAAGTGAGATCTAGCAGGAAAGTCATTTAGTCACATGGAAGTTCCAAGGTCATGACACTCTTCTCACAGATAATCTAGACCAGATGCTCATGATTCATACCTTACGAACATGAAACATTCTGCAGTCACAGCACATCTCGCAAAACCGAGGAAGAACAAGTCTTTCCGTGATGTCCTTTCCCACCATGGAGGCCATTTTACACATAATCTAATGGCAAGACAGACACTAATCAGGGATGTTTGCACAACACACAATTCTGTGTCAGTTAAGCAGAAGCTTTTTACATTTACTTTTCATTCTGATGCACATAATATTCTTGAAAAGTGCAAAAAATGTTGAAAAAAAACCCCTTGTTTAGAATTGAAAAGGTTTTTTCCCCCATTTCTTTTCATGATGTAACACAGCTGCAGAAGACATTTGCCTTTCACTAAATAAAATCAAATTAACAACTAATGGAGACAACTGGACTCTCAGAAATTACTCTCATACCTTACCAAACAGAGTTACAAAAATAAAACCAAACCAAAACAAGATTCTTTCATACTCCAATAATTAAAAAATGCATATGTATACAATTAACAGAAAATTGCTGGTAATTAATATGATTAGGAGACTTCTAACTTCCGCATGATTTAAAAATTACAACACTCCACACTGACCATATGCAACTCCCTAATACGAAATTCCCTAAAAAACATACCAAAGAAAGAACTCTTCCCTCTAACTGCTCTTTCATTCTGATTTGTAATAAAACTTTAAAAAAAAGGGGTAAACCAATTATTTTTAAATTTTTAAATTTCCTAATCACATCATTAGAACTGTTTAAATTCATTCTCCTGCAATAACAAATGATTGTTTTTCTAACACCTAGGAGGTTGATGGGCTACAGAAATTTTTGTCAGGTTTCAATCTCTTCAAAACCATGAAGAAAGGTAAAACTGCTCTGCTTATACTTTATTCCCTTTTATAATTGTAAGCTTCATCAAGAAGCACTAGAAATTTGGTGTCAAATGAAACAGTGCTGGGGCCTGGTTACTGTTTATGAGCCCAGTCACACTAGGAAAGTAAAATATTAAATGAGGTCTCTCTCAAGCGAAAAGAAAAACGTTCACCCAGCAGAAAGCATCAATACAAATTGCAAAAATTCAAGGAAAACATAAGGAAACATCTTCTGCCATTTCTCTTTTATAAATTAACTAATATGCTTACTATTTTAATTCAACACATACATTTTAATTATTAAGGTTGTGTCTAATGCAAAAAAGAAACCCACCAACCAACCATGAGTTAATCAACTCACATGCTTATTATTTTGTCCAATAAAACAAAACAAAATCAATAAAGAGAACAGACATACAGTAAAGGCCAATAGAACTGAGGCATCAAAGCTTTGCCACTGATAGAAATTTTCCACATAGGCAATTTAAACTTCCATAAAGCAAACAGACAAACTTGTAAAAAAACTGAAAAGCCAACACAGCAGATGCTTTAGAAGTCAATAAAATTAATCCCCTGTGCTGTCTTGACCAGCTGGGTTTTTTTCTTTACAGCTTATATAAGCTATTAAATTTAAATCTTAGCTTGACCCAAGTGTAAGAGCATAGGGAAGGTTACAGATTTGTTATGGAGATGAATATGTTTTTTTCTCCTAAATAACAGATGTGCAACTTGGAAACACACTACCATCACTGCAATATCAAGCATCCAGAGAAACTTTAGACTGCTGTGATTTGGTACTGCTGTTACTTACAGCCACAGCCTCCGTCTTCACATCATCGTTGCTGTCTGGAGCTGTCAGATCTATCAGAACAGGACAGACTTTGGTCTCCACATCGTATCTCTCTATGAGTTCTTGCTCCAACAGAACTAACAATGCTGCCTGGCTTGTTTTTCTTACCTATCATAAAAGGACAAAAAAATTGAACCAATGAATTTGAAGAGAGATTTTTGATTTTTGATTTGCACACAGTGAGAGCATAAGTGCTCCACAAGCACTTTGCAAACACCTTATGTTTGAAACAAACTGTGTTTGAACCCAAGAATACTTGCATATTGTAAGCTAAGACAATGCTATTCTAAGTGTCCACCTCCGTAATTCCCAAAACATGGGGCAGCAATGTCAACAGGAGTAGTCATGGCAAAGCTCAAGCAATACATAAAGTAAAGCAGCACAATTAATTGGAAGTAACATAGGAATGTGATTTTTACTAAACAAATCCTCTTTTTCTGAGATTAACAAGCTTGGCTGGCAAGGAATAACTGCATTTACTTCTAATGCATTTTAAATTCTGAGACACAATTTTGCTTAGTCCCATTTTAAAAAAATTGCACAAAAATAAAATACCCATTAATAACTGACTTCATAACCCCTGCCTCTCAAAAGAGTACTTTCATCAGAAGAGAAAATGTGACATACAGCAAGAGACCACATATACTGCAATGCAGCAATTTTGAAAACACATTTGAGCTCTTTGTTCCAGAGCTCACCAGCCAAATGGAGTATGGAGTATCAACAAAGGCTAAGACAATGAAAATAATCTCTCTAGCAAGAGAACATCAAGCAGAAGTATGGTTGCTGTATTATACATGAATTAGCAGAATATTGAAAATAATGTATCAGCTAGCATTAGTCTAGTCTGAAATGACTGAAGAAGCCTCTGGAAAGCTTTGGGCAAGCTAACTTATAAATGAAGAGAAACAAACCACGTGAGTTCAGTCCAAAACCTTCATCGGAATGATACACAAATAACTGGTCATGAAGGTACATAGCAGCATTAAAAACCTGAATTATACCAAGGACTCAGTTTTTCACTACTACGTAATGTTTTCGTTACATCATATGATGCTAAATTCAAATAATTTGGCATCCCACCACCTATTCAACTAGCTAGTAAACCCCTGGTAGAAGACACTTACCTGGTTATTCTGGTCTGCGAGGTATCGCACCACAATAGGCAGTAAGTATTTGGAGAAAGCATATGGGATTGAAGGTCTGTTTTCTTGACAGAACATAGCAATATGAGGCACCTGTTCCATCAGCTCTGCCCGCACTGTTGGCTCTGTCAGGATCAAAATAAAACCAAAAAAGGCACAATAAATGTTTACAAGCATACTCCTGGATACTGCCAGCATAAGCTTTTTACAGTCCTATACATACCAAGTATGTTCTCAAGTGTTCATGCCAGTGTGTTAATGTCAAGCTTCGTTTTGACAATCACCATCTTTTTGCAAAACCAGGTAGATCCATTATGACTACACTCTGTACTGTCCTATTTTCTCAGTAAAAACCCAAGAAGAGGTATAAGAGAGTAAGCCACCAAACATTATGAGTACCAGAATCTGTCTGAACTCCTTACGAGCGTCATCCACTTCACACAAACCTGATAAGCAGAAAGTCAACCCAAAACTAGTACCAGTATGAGAAGGAATGAACCGTGCAGGACTCTGGGCCACAGCTCTCAGGCAGGAAAGATCCCACGGATCTGGGCAACCAGCCATAACCAGAGACATTGATTTTCATCCTTTGCTTTTTAAGGCTACTGATGTCTTTCTCAGATAGAGAAGGTCCTGCATTTTTCCAGTTGCAGGTTAACTTTCCAGTTAAACCTTTCAGGCATGTTTTTCATCAAAGCTGGTGACTATTTGAAAAACATTTCATTCAATCTTTAAATTCAGGAAATGGTGCACTGCTTGAATGAATCCTGATCCCCACAGAACATGCACATATATTTGGGGGATGTTAGGAGAATCAAGAGAAATACAAGTGTTGATTAAATTCCAACTACTAAAAAACCAGATTCAATTTAAGAAGTAGGACATTATTACATGCCTGACAGCCCACTTGTCCAAAGGGGGAAAAAAAAAATTCTGAACTAAGTAATTTCACCCTTTCAGAATTTGCTGACATCTGTGGTTACAATTAGAGAACTGATTACCTATAAAAGCACATAATAAAACCCACCAAATACTCCCAAGTTACACTAATTTGATTTACAATTTTTTTAATAGTAAGATGTACACTGTTCACCGGATACACATGCCTTAATGAATTTTTACCTATAAACTGTTTGTGTAAAACTTGATGGTATGCCCAGAACCATCTTCCTTGGAATATTTGTAATTAACATGATATATTAAAAATATAACCTTTTGTTAAAAAGAAGCATTTAACTTGCATTTGTATTTAACATGGCCCATATGTGCAGCACTTGGCACAGTGATTACAAGTGTAAACTTAGGCCTGAATCAAACATAACAAAGACAAAGCAAGGACCATGCTGTGTGCAGTCTTTTCTTCACTGAGCACAAATGAACAGAAAAGATCACAGTGCACAAAGTAATCAAATGCCTATGGGCTCCACTTCTTTCACTATAGAATTAAATTACTTTCCCTATATAAAGACACATCAAAATCATAGACTTACAGAACTGTTTGGGTTGGAAGGGACTTTAAAGATAATCTAGCTCTAACTCCCTGCCATGGGCAGGGACACCTTCCACTAGACCAGGTTGCTCAAAGCCCATCCAACCTGGCCTTGAACACTTCCAGGGACCTCTGTAAAGTTTATGAATTGCTGACAATGTTACAAACTGCAAAACTAAATCCCAGATAAATCAATACTAAATAGGTTTGCTATTCATTGCAATAAAGTTAAAAAAAGTCTTGCAGTCTGCTCTGTATCTCTTCCCAAACATTATCAGGAACATACATAACAAAAGCCTTTTTATTTAAGCCTCCAGTGTTCTGAAACACATGTGATTGAACTTCATAAGCAATACTGAAATCCTGAAGTTTGTATTGAGGAAGTCTACACAAACTATGTCACAGTTTTAGCAGACCTGAATTAACAGAAATTAACAGATAGAAAAGGCTAAACTCTAGTGAACACTGTTTGTAGCACTAAGCATGACAGCTGACCAAAATAAGCACCTGTAAATAGAACAAACTAATAGTTAATGAGATCGTTAATTCTGAAAGCTGAAGTCTACATATCACAGTAATGCAAAGAAAGAAACTATTTCTACTGTAGTAACTCATCTTTCGCTTTCTTAAAAAAAAATTACCAAAGCAGTCCTTAGAACACAAGCAGGATAAGCTGCAATTCTTCATTAGGATGAGGTCTTGGGATGGGGGTGGGGGTGTGTCAAGCAAAGCAGACCAGATGTTTTTGAGAATTAAGTTGGCAAAGACATCTATTTTCCTCCTACACTTAATTCTGGTCCTCTTACCTGACAAGGCCTAGTTCCTTCAGTTCTGTAAGAGGGGTCTGAAATGTGCTGGAGAAAGAAGTCCTTTAACACGTTACCTTGTACATGTCAACATGCTTTTTTCTGTCTGTGTAATGACCTGCCCAAAGGCGGCTGAGTGAAAGCCTTGCAAACACCCTTCATCTGCAACTGGCCAGTATGCAACAGAAAGCACAGCAACTACAAACTGAAGAGTCCTTCCTTGCTGAGCATGTTCCGAGACAGAGAAAGCCATTATCCCTGCACACAGCCCACTTTCGAGAGTAACTCATTTGAAAACACTGCAGGTGGCAGAGCAGAAAGAGGAACCATCAGGCTGGGCAAGGAGAGGTGGAGGGCCGAGAGATAAGTGACAAGGAGGTAAGACCAGCAACTTAAGGGAAGGAAGATGGGAACTTGATGGACAAGAAACGGCAACCAGAGCCCAAAGAAAGGGCTGGAGGAATGTGTGCCCACCTTTCCCATAAGGCTGTTATTTCAAGACACGCCCAGGACATGATCTAGGGGTACAAGAAGCTTATGTCGCAACACTTATCACTAGGATCTCATTCTCACTTCCTGGGACTCATGCCTTGTTTCTTACAGCAGAAAGAGGATGACTTCGGGGGTGTAGGGGAGAGTTAAGCAAAATTAATTTGACTGAGGCTGCATGTTTGGCAGCAGTGCTTCTTCAATTGTTTCTGGATTTGCTTCGGGCAATTCCCACCCTCCCAGAGGCAAAACCTGCAGCTTCCATTTATGCCAATGCAACCCCTCGTGCAGGCAGACAACAAACCATATCAAAGAACTGATATGGCTGATGCAGCTTTGCCCCACCACAGCAGCATCATTAAACAGCAATAACTGACACTTAGATCGGTTTCAATATGCAGTCACACACTTCACTCAAGTAGCAGGACTGCCTGATGATGGAAGCAAGCAAGTGATGGTAAGAGAGGGTGCCGGAACAGAGTCAATGGAGCAAAATGCTGAGAAGCCCGATTTGTTCCTTTGCTTAGCATGAAACTGTGCAAAATGTTCACGGAGTAACTGCACATTTGGATTGCAGTCCAAACTCTGTGTCTTCACTGCTGAAGAAATACCACCTCTGTAATCAAAGCCAGTAAGAGTTCTGTATTAAGCCTAACATGAGCTATGTATAAAGCTTTGGACATGAGGCACTCAAAACGAGCAGACAGCTTCGATACCTCTTTGATAACTGTATCTTTTTGCCCACCCACTGATAAAGTAATGGCAACACTCCCTTTCCCCAAATTGACTACGTTTGCTATGAAATTGAATTAATGAATTTCTTTATGAAGTATTCCAGTAAGAGAGAGCAACATACACCAAAAGCATAAGATCCTTTTTCCTTCAGAACAGGGTTCATCTATTATGCAGCACTTATGTCAGCTGTCTGACAATACTGAAGATCCGCAGATGTAAAGTGAGACCCTTTCTTCCTGAGCTACTAAGCAAGCTCTGGCTTAGTGAGGAACACAGGCAGATGAGATAATGCAATTAAAGATTTGAAAAATTAATGCCTAGGAAAGAATTAGAACTGTAAAGTCACCTTAGCTCTTACATTCCCTAACTTTTAAGTACACGGCTCTGCGATCTGTGCAAGGGCAATTCAAACCAACAAACAAGCGAGCACTGTGCACATAACCGGTTGTGTAACACAACACCATAATTTGCTATCAAAAGGGGTTTGTGCTGCTCTGGGGAATTACTGCTACTATGCAAGAACCTGAACCTTAAGCTTACCAATTTAGATAAGAGCTCAATTCTTCCAAAGACTGAAGCATATGTTCCAGTGTGTACTGAATAGAGCCTAATCTTGCAGTCTGATGCTGTTAAAGTAGAACTTTTTTTTTTTCCTCATTATATTTCCTCAAGACCCAAGCAACAATGCCCAAAAAATACACCGGAGAGATTTCTCATTCCCTTCATCTATTCCTCAGCTTTGTCTTTATCTTAAACAGGTGGCAGCTCCAAGCACAGATTCCAGCAGGCTTAACACATGACAATGTCCACCACTTCAGTTTAAACTTCTCTGTTGTTTATAATCAAATTTATGGTTTGGTCATTGTGCTGGTTTTGGCTGGGACAGTGTTAATTTTCTTCATAGTAGCTGGTACAGGGCCATGTTTTTTATTTTTGCTGGAAACAGTGTTGATAACTCAGGGATGTTTTAGTTAGTGCTGAGCAGTGCTTACACAGAGCCAGAGCCTCTTGTGCCTCTCACATCACCCCACCAGCAAGCAGGCTGGAGATGCCTGAAGAGCTGGTAGGGGACATAGCCAGGACAGTCAATCCCAATGGACCAAAGGGACATCCCATACCATATGGTGTCATGCTCAGCATATAGAGCTGCGGGAAGAAGGAGGAAGTGGGGAGAACCTTCAGAGTGGTGGTGTTTATCTTCCCAAGCCACTGTTATGCATGATGGAGCCCTGTTCTCCTGGGGATGGCCGAACAACTGTCTGCCCATGGGAAGCGGTGAATGCATTCCTCTCGAATTCACAGTGAGGACATGGGCATCATCCTGAGTTGTTTACTTTCCTTACTCCTAAATCTAAGGCAGCCTAAGCACTGCTTCCAGCACAAATCCAAAGCGTGGGCCTGTATTAGCTACTACGAAGAAAATTAACTCCAACTCAGCCAAAACCAGCAAACATCAGTGAATGGAGCATGGTAGTATGAGTTAAAATCATTACACGCAGCTTCCTAAAGCATAAGAGCATCCAGCTGGGGAATACTGCGTTACGAATTTTTTTCAGTGCACGATACAGTCAGGACTAGGCTTCCACACAATATAAACAAAATCTGG